CAAAAAATATCCGTGGACATTTTCACATTTGCAGACATAAGAAATGAGTTCCTTTACTTCTGACAAAACGTCTGATTAGTTTGGCTGTTTCTCCATCTGGGGAGACAGCTGTTCACAAGAACAACGCCACATCTGTATGAATCAGTCAACAAAATTGTGATGTGGGCTAAACTGGAACCAGACTACTTTGGCCCTTCTATAATAGGGTAACACAATGGATATCTTACGTCATGTTGTCAGTATTGACAAACTGTTTGCCCTGTGTCTTTTATCAGTCTTTGTTTCTGTGGGAATTCATCCAGAAATACAATTCTTGGGAAAATCAAACCGAATTGTGTTTTCAGCAATTGTTCTGATCTGGTCAGCACGAAGACAAAGAGCTCGTGCAATAATTATTCTATTCCCCTCAGTGTTGACTCTTTAGAGCCCAGTTGGGCTTGATAAGGAAAAGAGCCAAAAATAAGCCTTTGATGGGATGGGGTGGAGAGAGGGTCAGTGATTATTCACTATTAATAAATAGAAAAACACTACATATAGAGAGGACAGGCATCCTTCACAGATGGCAAATAAACAAATTCTTTCCAATAATGAAATTACTAGCCAAGATACGTTACGTATGTGGAACAGGAATGGTCCCAGTTGTGGTTTACAGACCATAATGATGAGGTCCTAATTTATTGATACATACTCATATTCATGTAACTTTTTTATTGTTGTCATTAAAAGTTCTACATAGTGCTTGTGCCCTGCAAAGGGAGACATAGGGAATTCATTTGTCTGTCCTCGCATTTCCACTGTCTTTTTATTGCATTGTTTTTAAATTCCTAATGTAGCATTAAGTTGCTGTTTTTATGCCACATTTTTATTATTTAAGTGTTCAGACCTCACAAACCAGATCTATTTACACTTCTTTTCTCCCATCGATATTCACCAACTAATTTCTTATGATTTCTTCATGTAAGCAGTGTTTCCCATACATTGTTTATTTGTGTGTTTTAATTAAGCAATTGTAAAATTGCCCCTGAATATTCAAATCCCAAAATTGAAAATCAAATACCTGCCCAACGAACAAATATTTGTACCAAGAATGAGGACTGTCTTACTATGGCCCATCGTCCTGGAATGAACTCCAGTCTAAGCCAAAGATTGGTGCGCCAATTTCATTAGCTGCTTTTAAAAAAAAAGAAAATCAGTCATTCTGACGGACATATGCACTTGTTTTTAAATTAACGGTAGGTAGATCTCTACATTTAGTCTTTTTTCTACATTTTCTTTGTTTTACATATTTAAACTCACTGCATATTTTGTCTATGTAAATTTCTTGTAATCTTTGTATACATTTTTATTGTATTTTAATTTCTGTAATGTATTGTTTTTCCAACTCATGGTTGAAAAATTGTGTTTTACTTGTGCTATACAGGACTCCCTTGTAAAAGAGACTGTCTTAATGGGACATTTCCTGTTTAAATAAAGGTTTATATAAATATTTGAATATTCAGGTCCAGCCCTCTTATCTTTGATCAGGATATGTCCTTTAACTCCCACATAAACAAATTTCATTGACTGCCTATTTTCATCTACAGAATATTGCAAAAATCATGCCGAAAAACTAGTCGAGGCATTTGTTACTTCTAGGCTGGATTATTGCAATTCTTCATTATCATGCTTTCTGAATAAGTCCCTTAAAAGACTCCCTGATGAAGAAATATAGTGAGCCAGGTGAAGTTATGACGAAGAAGTTTCGGGGGAACAATGACTTAACATAGCATGGTTTATTGAGCTCGGCCAAGGAGATATAGTGCCAGCATATAACGTGAACACATCAAATGCAAACACCAAATCTGAAGGAGAAAATATTTTAGTTCCTGTAGGTTTCTCTCATAGGTCTTTAACTGGCCTAAACCTAGAACAAATAATCTATCTGATGTTTAGACTTCAATGCTACATCATATTGGAGTCTATTTCTATCCATGAGTTGTACTCTAATCTGAAGTTCTTGTAAAGACTCAACCTTGCCAGACTCCCAGAGAACACTTGCTAGGCCTGATTCCTGAGCTGCTGTCACTCCCTTATCAATCAAACTGTTGTCTACCTACCAAGGACAGTTACATGAGTGAAATAACTAGAGCTGCAAGGTCAGTGAACACTTGTAGGGTCAGCTAATGACTCCAAGCTAGATCTGTCATACCCTCCCTGTTATATCAATTAAGCCCCCTAAGATTATTCTTTAACACTCCCCAGAAGAGCCAGAAAGCTGCTGCACAAGTACAGACAAGAACTACAAAACTAGATCATATTTCTCCGGTATTAGCTTCTCCCTGTAAAATCCAGAAATAAAAGTCCTTCTGCTCACCTACAAAAACCTTAATGGTCAGGCACCATCATATCTTAAAGAGCTCATAGTACCTTATTACACCACTAGAGAACTGTGCTCCTAGAATACAGGGTTACTTGTGGTTTCTAGAGTCTTTAAAGGAGAATGGGAGCCAGAGTCTTCAGCTATTAAGATCCTCTCTTGTGGAACCAGGTTCCCAGTTTGGGTTCAGAAGCCACACACAGTCTCCAACTTTAAGAGTAGGCTTAAGACTTTCCTTTTTTTAAAGCTTATAGATTGGGCTGGCTTAAGTAAGCCCTAAAGCAGCCCTAAGTTATGCTGCTATAGGCCTAGACTGCCGGGAGACTTCCCATGATGCACTGAGCTCCTCTCTCCATCTGTATGCGTTCTTATCCCATTAATGCACGTTACTAACTCAACTTCTTTCCTGTCCCGTAGTTTTGTGCTTTCTCGTCTGCCCCTCTGTTGCTTTCAGCAGGTATTTGTGCCTCTGGAGCTGTAGAATCTGGATCTGTGTGTTTGTCTTTGCACGGTCTCTATGTTATTTTACTGCATCAGGCTCATGTTTGTGCAGCTAACTCCTGTCAGACATTGCCTTACACCAGGCAGGCTACATTTTCAGATCTCTGAGGGACCTTCTGACCTTGTGTCTGTCTGCCTTCTTCAACCTCACAGCGACCTCAAGGGCACTTCCTGTGTGGAGGGGAAGCACACAGACTGATGGCAGAGACAGTGTTTCATCCCTCAAAGTGTGTGTGTGTGTGTGTGTGTATTTAAGTGAAAGCCACAGACAGAGTAGGCTGTATAGCTTCCGGTGGGTAAACATCAGCTTTCTCATGAGAATGTTTCTCTCTTAACTACTAACTACTTAGACCTGTTCTGTGTGTCTGTGTGTGTGGGGGGGGGATTGAGATAGTTAGAGAAGTCACTGGCATGTGTATATTTTCATTTATGAAGCCTTTCTATCCAAGTTACTGAGATATTAACATCCTTGGTACAATTCAAAGATTATTTTTGAGTGACATCAGGACTATGTATCTTTGCAAAGTCCCTAATTAGCTCTTAGTAACTACTGTACCAGGCCTAACCATCTTAAAACTGCGTGCCAGTCCTTTGCAAAGGCAGTTTACTTAATAGTAGATTAGTAGTAGTTATATTCATATATGTATATATTTTAGAATTAAAGGGAAATACTCAATTAGGCTCACTATCCAAATTCCAAAGTTCTTGACACAAATCTTGCCATTTTGATTTACATTCTACATATATCTAATCGGAGCTACCACCGGGAAAACTGATGCAGCCGGCAGCAGCTGGCAACTGTTCCTGTGGTTGATCATAATTTATCATTTACAAGCCTTTCCACTAATTCACTTTGTTCTAAAAATAAAACAAATTTGGATCACTGCACATATCAATATGGGGTTAACAGATAATAATGATACACTTTTCTTTAATATGGCTAATAATATAACAGGCATTCCATCTGCTCCTCTATTAAACAGCTACTGTCTTTGAATGCTGATGTTTAGCCAGATGCAACATCCTGATGTTCAGTCCCCTTTTTTAAAGATGAATCTACATCACCATCTAGAGGACAAAATGTACTGCAGTAGTGCTCACCTGCAGCAGTTAAGCATTCCTTTCTAGCATGTTGTCTTCAATGGATGAATCCTCTAATGTCTCAATTTTACTAATTCACTTTCAGACATAAAATACCTCAATCACTGAACCAACGTGAAACCTTGGAGGAAATTTTAATTAGAGGTGCAAAAACTTTAAGTTGTTAATTGTACAACCTCCTAATGCAATTAAGAGTATATGGGGTGTCCTGATAATGGTAATAATAAAAATACTGGTTAATGTAAAGGCTAAGATGCTTGAATGTGAAGCAAACGCCATGTAGCCACCTTTTTATACTTTAATTTAAGTAACATGGGATCCATTTCTTCCCCCTCTGCTTTGTACTTGGATCAATATCATTGTCAAGGCCTCCATTACACAGCAATAATGTTTGGCTTCAATAGAGCAAGTTTTGGACTGAATAAATATGAGAGCGGAATAAAATACAATTTAAATTATGTATATTATGGCCCATCATTGTATTAAATTTCTTAATGGATTCTCCCTGATTCACATAACTTGCCAAAGGAAGAACTGACCACAAACGATAACATCTTTCATATATATATAAAAAAAATAAAACTGTGTAGGAAATCACAACATGGCCAACGAGAAATTGAGGAGCTGAGAGAACTAATAGGCCTATAATGATTAAAACGATGACAGTTACAAGTCTACAGTAGATAAGAGACATGTTATTTAGCTGATTACGATCAGATAAAATATTTAGGAATGGAGCATTTTCTTCAAAATATTTGATAAAAAATGACATTTTTCATAGGATATTTATCTTTTATGCAATTTTATTCCTATCAGTTGGATGGATGAGAAGATGGCGTTAATATTAAGCTACGTGGAGGTTCTGTTTAACAGTGCGTTAGAACATGAATAATGATATTCAGGTAAGTGTCAGTGTGAGTACGGCGTTGTTTCAATTAGCCAAGTGAAACGAAATGAACGCGAGAGGAAATGACCTCGTGCTGCAAATCGCAGTTTGCATGTAGCAAATTTAGTGAAACGGTGAGGTTGCTGTTTGACTCACCTGCAGCTGCAGGACTGAACTCCACCCTCCACGTTCCCGGCTGGCAGGCCTCTGCTGCCTTCTGTCCACTTCGTGTAGACAGTTTAGGTTTTATTTTATGGGTCAAATAAAAGTTGATGACTCCAAAAGTGTCACAATCAAAAAAAAAAAAAAAAAAAACCCAACACACGTCAAACCATCTCGGCATGCCACCACCAAACATCTCCTTCACCCAGGTGCTTCACATCAGTGACGTCACTGCCGGCTCTCCAACGTCCTCCTACACACTCATTAACCTACCAAACCAAAAACGTTTTCTAATAACAAGTGAAAATAGATATACCCCTAATAATATTCTTGTGAACAGAAAATAAAACAATTATTTCCTCATTGACTGTTTTACTGAGGTTTAATAAGAATCTGTTTGTCACTTTGTGTTGAAAAGTGGTGGGGACATTCAGGCTCATGATACAAGTGTGTCACCAGACAAAGGTCAAAATCAAGATGATAAGATTTTAAACCCTATCATAAAGAAATATGTAATGCTGAAATATATGTATATATATATTTTTTGAGCGTTAGACACTTACAGTAAATTCCTGCATTCTGGGGACATTTTATGCTCCAATTTACAGTTTAAATTGTCTTAATTCATAAATATAAAATATAACAGAATATAATGCAATGATCAGGTGCTTGTTTTTTTTTTAACTTAAGTTACTTTTCTTTGGACAAAGCACATTTGTTTCTTCTGTATTTAAATTGCATTGCATGTTTTCTCATTGTGCAAATAAACCTTTCTCAAAGCTTTTTCACATTTCTTAGCTTTCAGAACATTTTTAACAAATACTTTGAAAAAGTGAAGGGGACAAAATCAGTCATTTCAAAATGTGGTGGGGACATGTCCCCAGTGTCGCCAGTGTAAATTACACCTATGGTCTGTAGTCTGTGATTCAGTGAAGTCTGATTTCTGAGACTGGAAGATGAACAGCAGCATGAATGAAAACATATGTGTAGATCACTCAGTGGCCTAGTGGATATGATCCCACTCAGGTCTTTTAGTTAGATAACAATATTCTTTTCAACTCTTGTAAAGACAGTGAAGAAGCAAACTATCCATCCATTTGATCTGAACAAAACTTCTGTGTAACCAAACTCTGATTCTTAACCAGCAGAGCTGTCAATACTCTGTGAGAGGCATCAAAACTCACACAGAGAATAATTAAATATGGAGTTCAGACAAGAACATCAGCTCATCATCAGAGTCTCCATGATCATTTCAGTTTGCATGTTGTCATTTGTAACGTCTTTTTTCGGACCTACCGAACCCTGAAGTTGAAAAGCATAGTTTCTCATAAGGCTTGCCCCTTTTTCAAATGCAATGGCCTTCAATCAGTAAATTTGTACTGCATTTCAACCACCCATCACAAAAACAGTGTCGTTTTCTGCTTAATGTTTTCCTTTTTTAAGGGTCAAAACTCCAGCAACACGTGCAGTGTTTAAACTCTCTGACAATACAATTCTTCCTAAGACTGCTGGCGTCTTGCAGGTCAAGTTGTACAGAAACCCCCACTCTTCCTTTTGCTACGGGGTTCATTTTAACTTTGACTTTAACCGGCTTAACAATGTTTTGCAATGTTGTCGCCGCTCTCGTGCAAATGTGTAACTTTATTTTCAGTCTTGCTGATCAAGTGAGGGAAACCAGACTCATTTACCATTCTGCCTCCACGATGTTAATTTGTTTTCAGTGTGGTCTGCTGCTGTACACTGTTTAAGCAAATGCATTTTTCAACTTCTCTTTCAATAGAATGTAATTTTCCATAGACAGCTTATTAGTACAACTGGAAAACAGATTAGACTGAAACTGCAGATTAACCAATGAATTAAAATTATTCTTTGCAGAAAACAGCTAAAAGACATGAGATCTTTGAAACCTCACCGTACTTTTGCCGTTTTCACCGTTTTCAGTCCAAAAATCAACTGATGTGTTGGTAGGAGTGTCACCAGATTATTGCACAATACCTGGGAGCTCTGCCTGCCTTCTCTCAAGCCAATATTTCAATGTTATGTCATTTGGAACGTGGTTGTATGGACAGAAATAGTGTTTTAAAGATTACTCCCAGCATTTTAACAGTAAATATCGCCAAAATATGGACATTTGCCTGGTATATTTTGAAAATATTGTATGATAATGTTGTATTTTAGTTTATTTTCATCAAATTTACAGTTACAATTGCAATCCAGGTTTATTAGAAGATATTCAGTTGCATTATAATCTATTGTAATCTAGTGTAAATATGTTAATTTAGAATGGATTTACATTCCTTAGCTTCTGATCCTTCAGACCAGAATTATGCATCTAGGCCAAATGGTTGAGGAGTTATAACTGATTAATTTTGGGTATGTTATTTTGGGCGTTTTTCCCAAAGGGGCAAATAGCTGGAGGTGCCCCAACAGGTTAAAGGAAAAAACAGTGCACAAACAGGCTCACAGTCAAAGAGGTCCGATGTTCTGTGATTGAGAAAACAGAGTGGACACAACCCACCGTTTCTCTCCTCCCTTGTGTCAGCTGGAGGGGAGGGCGTAAATTAATTTGTGGGCAAAAGTCATTAATTAGATGACAAATAATAAAACAAAAATACGTCTCCTGTATGCAGCAAATGTTGTAGTCATTAAAGGAGACAATGAAAAAATGGAAATGTTTCCCTCCATGAAAATCTGTAAGGTAAGGTAATCCTATCTTTTACTGTCAGACCATATTGTTTTTCTAGCTTCTCAACATAAAATGTGCTCACAATGTCAGAGCCCACCAACCTAGAGTTTGTTTGAAGTAGGTGACACTGGAAGTCTTTAGGGTGAGAGATGTCAAAGACAACATAATGTTCTATTGGCCTGTTTAACATGTACTAATGTGTGTAATGTGTAATCTATTTAACAAACTTTACGATGTCCAAAGGTGATGCAGACGTTAATGATCAGGTTAGTTTGGTAGAAGAGGATGGCGTTCAGTTCTGCTCACCAAAAGAAAACCACATGGTGAACAGAGAACTCTGCAGAGAACAGTTTCTAATTGTGCAGCAGTAGCGCATCTGTCGTCGGTCAACTTAAAGCAAATCTAAAGCTCTTTTAGAAGCCACAGAAGATGAAGTTTGAGAATATCCTGGAGGAAATCGATGGCTTTGGGCCTTTCCAAATCGCCATCACCGTCCTGCTGTGCACCCCACGTATAGTTCTGCCCTGTCACTTCTTACTGAATAACTTCATCGCTGCGGTGCCTCCTCACCGCTGTGACGTCAGCGCGCTGGAAGATGGAGGACCCACAAACTTAACTCAGGAGCAGAGACTGACAGTCTACGTTCCTGTACGGGAGGATGGGGAACCAGAACCCTGTGAGATGTTTGCAGAGCCTCAGTTTCAACTCTTAGCCAACAGCTCCAACAGCGCTAACCTGCCAACAATTCACTGTCAGAGTGGCTGGGTTTATGACAACTCCACCTTCACTTCCACCCTGGCAACAGAGGTACAGTGCCTGACTTTTAATCAGTGTCAAACATAGCGTGTAGTTAAAACAATTGGACAGTATACTCTTTTAGTTTAATTTAAGTTCTAAATTATTTTCCAGACAACACAATGTCAATTTGTCAATTGCTGGTCTCGAGGGTCTGCAGCACACCTATGTCCAAGTGATGAGTACAACTTTCTAGAAAGTAGCCTATAGTTTTTTCTTGCCTCCAACTACGTCACTGTCACGTCAAATGACGGGGGCTGGATGAAGGAGGAACTTCTTGGCGATCTCGGCTTTCTCAGTCAATATGTAGCATGCACTGAAAAACTAATTGCTTTTATAGACAATTTTATATAGTTTACCATCAACACCGATTGGAAATTCACAGGGATGAAGGAGTGAGCAAAAGGCCTCAACACAGCAGACAAAAACAGCGCAAGTGGATGTAATAACATTAATGATGGCTTTATTTTATGAAATGAAAAATATGTAGGAAAGGATAAGTGTTGTGAAGTTGGTTAAAAAAGTCAGCTATATTTTCTGTAAACCACAGCAAATGTGTTTTTGTTGTGTGAATGAAATTTTGCGTCCAGGACAAAGAGAAAAGATGCACCATAATAGATCATCTAATTACTTTTTCCATGTGATCTGCTTTTCCAGTGGGACCTTGTCTGTGATAGAAAAAGCCTGACAAAAACCACAAGCTCAGTTTTCTTTTTTGGAGTGATGGTTGGAGCCATAGCTTTTGGATACCTCTGTGACAAGTATGTGCACATAAAGTGTGTCTCTAACATTTTCACGATGAAGTGCAAACCGTGCAGCTCACATTTTGGTGTTGAATACTTTAAATGTCAATGAAAAAAAAGACTTTGCACAACATATCTTGTCCGTTATATATTAATTTGTTTTGCTATTCAACTTTCAAAATACTGACACATCATTTGAGTTTCATGTTTTTGAGGAAATGTTCACACTTAGATTCATTATACGATACTATAAAGTCTATCTATTTAGACTATGTAGAATCCCATTTTACCTTCTATGCAGGAGTCCATGTTAATTTTACTGTCTTAAATGTAGTTCACCATTCTTACATCCAGGTATGGGAGGAAAAACACTCTTTTGGCCTCATACATCATGGCGATCGTGTTTGGCTTCTGCAGCGCATTTGCAAACTCCTACGTTCTGTTTGCAGTGCTGAGATTTCTCACTGGGTTTGGACTGACAGGAATCAGCATCAACTCAGTAGTTCTCAGTAAGATAACAAGTTCACAAAATCAACTTAAAAGGTGATGTAGTGTCACGTGGTCACCGCTTGCAGGTTTAAGATTATAGGTTCAACAAGCACGTCTAAGCTGATCGTGTTCAACCAAACTCCCAGGGATATTAGAATAAACAGACGGAAAATTGCAGAATAAATCCATCTTACAATGCTTGTATTATTACTATAAAATAATTTAGTCATTTTCCTCACCTTTCAGCCATTGAGTGGGTCGACACAAGTCACAGGTCGTTTATCGGTGTGATTGGCGGTCTGGCCTGGTCTGTGGGTAACATGCTGCTGGCCGGGTTTGCCTTCCTGGTAAATGACTGGCGGACCCTGATCATGACTGTGACAGCCCCACTAGGATTTGCAGTTTTGACCTGGTGGTAAGTGAAAGTCATATACCTGTAAGCCATAAATTCTACCTTCACAAAGACAATTATGTTCAGTTTTGATTGACGCTATCAGAGA